TTTGGGCAAGTCTGGTAATCTTTGTAAGCCTCATTGTTTCATTTGATAAACGGGAACAAAATAATAGGACGTATAAGTATAAAGTTGCGCTGAGAATCAGCACTGCTTCTAGACCACTGATTGTGGCAAGATAGGTAGCTGACAAGTTTTACTGCTCACTGGAATAAACTATGTTTTGCTATGGGAGGGCATGGACCAGAGCTCTTTTTATCATACTGGTTAAACCAATTCTTCTGCTATTGAGAAAAAACAAGAATGGAAGAAAGGAAGGGAGGGAAGGAGAGAGGGAAGAATTCAAATATCCTCCTTTTGGTTTGACTTTGCAACTCAGATGAACAATTTATACCAATTCAACACTTGGCAGAGAATCCAGTAGCTGGAAGCAAAGAGCACTGCTAAACCTAGGCACAAAGTTTGCTCTTAGCCAACACCTGCTAACATGACGGGACACAAAGGACACCCATTCCCAGACATCCAGGAGTGGATCAGGGAGTGCCCAAACCCAACTCTTTTGCTTCATGAAGAACTGAGCCAGGCACAGCTACTGGGTGGGGATAAGTGCCTCGCTCTCTCAGTTGTAGCATCCACCCCTCATGGAGAGGATGCACTCATTGCCTTCATTCAGTCACTAAACATGCATGTGTTAGAGTCCTCCACGTGCAAAGCCCCATGCAGGCTACCGGGATAGAAGGAAGAAATGACACAGTACTTTCTCTCAAGAGCTGACAACTAATAAGTGAGACCATGATGCACATGCAAGACTGGGTGACATGCAGAGTAAAAGGAAAGCAAGTTCAAGATACATAGGAACAGAGGAAGGATTGCTTAAGTCAGCTCGAGGGAGTCAGGGAAGGCTCCCAGAGGAGGTGGCACTGGAGTCAAGATTTGAGGGATAATCAGGAGTTTGTCTGATAAATTTAGAACAACCGAGAGAAGGGAGCCTGAGAAAGAAATCGGGTTGTTATTGCCTTTCAGGACAGCTGGGGTGCTGGAGCCAAGAACAGACCTGGAACAAAGCTAATACTATTTTTATAAGCTAGGAAAATAGCAGCAGCAGGAGCTCTGGCCAGAACCAGCCCCACAAAGAGCAAACAAAGCTACTCCTATCTTCTGGCTGTCTGTTGGAGAACTTACTAACCAGCACCTTAAGAACAAAATGTTTTTTAATCTTTGATTTTTATTCCCACAAAGTCCTTCCTCCTCTTTTTCCAGAACTGGAAAAAGCATTGGGTTGAATTTTACTTGCCTCTTTGATCTTTATCCTCCTGCCCCAGGCTCCCTGGAGAATGAGAGCCCAGGGAGATTTCTCCAAAGCAGAGTGCTGACCCCTCCTACCAGTCAGATGTAGGGTCCAAGGTAGGTCATGCTAGGTCAGCACTTGAAGGGGCCATAACTGTCAGGGCCTGTTTGCAGGAGGCTTGCATGGCCTCCAATTCTGACCTCCAAAGCTGGATTCTTAATCTGACATTCAGCAATTTCTTAGCATGGAGTTCATCTACCCATTTCTTGAGATTGCTTCTGACCTCCACCTATACAGAATCTAAAGCAGTGAATCCTGCATTCTGTCACCAAGTGCCCGGCAAGGAGAATTAGGGCACATTCGGGGAAGGCAGACAGAGTCCAGAAGCCTGAGGTTCTTCTCCAACTGCCTATCCAAAAAGGAGACAGCTCTCCTAGTACACTTCTTACTACAATAGTAACTGAGAGAACTTCCAATGTAAAAGCTCTTTGCATCAGGCATTGTGATTCCAGAGTGAGAAAACCAAAGAGAGATGCCTCATAATAACGTGCCTACCATGGGCCAGCTACTACGTCAGCTGCTTTACCTACTCACAACATCAGCTCTCTTAACAACCCAGCGGGGGATGGGGGGCATTGCTCTCTCTTACTGCAGAAGAGGAAACACAGGAGCGAAGAGGGAGGATATTTGGCCCAACATACACAGGTGGAGAGAGTAAGAATTTACATCCAGATCTTCAGACTCCATGTTCAGAGCCTTTATTTATAACATCACAACAACAGTTGTCTCCAACCAGTATTATAAAGCAACGACCGTGCAAGCCAGGAAAGAACCACCAGAATTTTCTCTCCAGAAGGAGTGGGGCTTTGTCTGCTCTGTTCACCGCCATAACCCCCCAGTGCCTAGACCAGTAACTGGCAGGTTTGCAAGCACTCGGTACACATCTTTAGTGACTATGTGGCTGGATGGTGGATGATCTTTGCAAGACCTTCGGGGCTGCGGAGGGCACAGGCAGGGTGAGAAGCAAGAGGAAGGCTCTGTTCCAAGCCTCCTCTCCTTCCCAGACACCCTAATCCTGAATTGGATGAAAGGGGAGAGGAGGAAGTATCAGAAAGTGCACAAAGGATAAACCTTGGTCAAAGTTACCATCTTGATTGTCTCTCAGTTGCCGGAGAAGCCCCTTCCTGTGCCTTCCCAGATACCACCGGCCCCTACGTTTAGCCCTTAAAGAATCCAAAGCCCTTATTCTACCTTTCCACGTAAAGAACTTCCTTGTGAAAAACACAAGGGAAACTCACTAACTGATGAGCATTAAAAATAATAAAAAGCCTTAGACCAAGCTTCGAGGGGTAAAATTCCTATCACTGAACGTCTCTTATTTAGGAAAAGGGGAGGGGGTCCTGTAATAGCCTGGATTCCTCCCAGCACAATTCAACCCACCCCTTCTGAGTATCTACGCATAGCAAGTGCCGTATAGGGCACAGCAAGCGCTCGCCAGAAGTGAAAAAGGGTGCTCTGCTTCATCGCTTCAGGAGGTCTGGGAAACTGAACCAGGAGCCCCCGCAGGTACAGCCCGTCTTTCAGAGCGCAGTGGTCCAAGCCCAGTGCTCGGCACCTGGGTGGAGGTGGATGGGTGAAACAAACTGAAAAAGCATGAGCATTGAAAAAGCATGATGCAGAAAGATTCCCTGGCCTCAAACGTGGTACAGGATGTTAGGATTATGAGGGGACGGGAAAACACCCTATCTATCTAGACCACAAGTTCTTTCTGTGCCTGCTCTCTGAAACCAAAATCACGCCATTCTAATCAAAAGCACACACTGCTCACATTGAAAAGGGAGAGAAACACCCTTGCCTATAACTCAGTATTATCTACCATTCAACCAACCCACATGTGTTACTGGCTGTTTACAACTTCTCAGGCATTGTGTTAGATCCTGAACACATAAAGATGAACAAGACAGACACATTCGTAGACTGATGAGCACTACCCTGCCCTGGAAGTCCATAGACTATGTAGAAGAACCAGATACTGCTTATTATCCTGTTGCTTAAGGAACCATGAACTTCCACTCTCCAGGCGAAGGCCATTTCACCTTATTCTTGCATTAATGTGACTGTATTCATTTAATAATTTATCAAGCACCCATAGGATCCTGATCCAGGGCTCAGCACAGGTAAGACAAGATTAATAATATAATGCCCTCAAGGAGCTCAAAGTCCATTAGAAAAGACAAGCAGATAAATCAGTCATTACAACCCAATGTAGATCATTTCTCCACTAGGGGTAGATTAAAGTGTTGAAAGAAGTACAGCTTAGAGATTTTTACAATAAATCTGAGTGGTCCATGAAAGGCTATGCAGAGAAGAAAGCGTCTGCTATGAATCTTCAAGTTAGAGTAGAAGTTAGCTAGAGAGAGAAGTAGAGGATCGATCATCAGTCTGGGAATAGAAATACACGTGTTTACACAAACTGAATTCTGGGAGCACAAGTCAGTATAGGTATTTGAATGACACCTCTAACCTCTGATACGAAGTATGGAACAGGATACATTTCAAAGTTTCTTTGACTATGATCCATAGTAAGAAATTCATTTTCATCATGGGCCAGTATGCACATGTACTACACACAAAATATAAATGTACGTTCCATAAAAACAGTGTTTACTCTTACTATGTGACATGCACTCTGATGTTTTCTACTCCAATCAAATCTATTCTGAAAAATCCAATGGTCATGACCAACTACATTGATCGTATGAAGTCTTAACCATAATTAACAACAACAACAAGATTGTTAGAAAGAAAGGCTAGG